GTATACTCACTGTGGAGTCGGACAGACATAATATAGTTTTCATACGTGAAGTACTACTGACGTAGTCTTCAAGAAAAGGAAAAAGTTACAATTAAAAAATGGTCATAAAATATAACCATAACTTTCGAAACTACTGCTGAATATATCACATTAAAAATAACGATACCGGAATAGCATAAAGAAAAAAATTTATTTCTCACTGTATACCAACAGCACTACAGCACCGTCCCCCTTGCTTCCTGATGCCAAGGAGGAGGATTTAACTACGCCATGGCTTCATGATATCTGAGCGCCTGCAGTGCACAAAAATGGTCACATAAGCTACAGTGCCTCTATAAAAAAATACTTTTCTGAGGGATCATAATAACCATCATTAACAGCTGGTGATTAACAGTGGGGAAAGGTAAAGATTAACAGATAAAGATAAGGACTTAAATAAAGATAAATAAAGTTAGGATATAGATAAGAAAAAAAGATGAAGAACGAAGTAAAAGTAAACTGAATATTATCACTAGAACAGAGGGTATATAATTAATTTGCAACACGCAGTTATCAGTAAATTTCGATGACTACTTAGTTTTCAGTCGCGGAAGCAAATGCGTCATACAATGCTTCCAATGTTCAAAATCTTGCGTGAGCGTTTGTGCTTCGGCAGAAGACAACCGGAATCTAGGGCTGAGTCCTTCAATACATAAACTCTGCACAGATTTAGCCGCCCTTGTGGTTTTCCGCCGGTCGGTTGAGCAAGCAGTAGCTGTTTCAAATTACTACCTGGAGTAATTAGAAAGAAGTGCCCAAACCATCATCACTGTGACTTCTCAACCTGAAGAAACATGCAGCTAATATAACTTCTTATAACTTGCACCCTACTTCGACTAATGATTATTTTCATCAGATTATCATTTTCTATCATTTTGGCATTAGAATATTGGATCATATTTTAATCTTGTACTTTCCCTCAACAATTAATCGTGAGTGAGCAAAGTAGTAGTTCTGTGTTCCGGAAGCCCAAATTAAGTTTCTTACAAATTCTGTTTGAAATGAAACTGCCTAATACCTGTTTTACACCCTCAAAGCTAAGGCGAGGCTTTGGAATATTGAGATTTTGAAATTCCAGAGAAAGTATGAAATATCAGCTGGAACAGAAACATCCGAAGACATCTGTATGAAAGAAGCTGCAAAGC